ATCAGCAGCAAATGCAACAGTATGAAGATCCCACAGTTGTGATTGTCTGTTTGTTGTAGCTCAGTTGACAGGGTAAACCCGCCATGTCGTTGCATGTTCGTGCTGGTCGCTGAATGCCTCCGTGACAATGGTCGCCGCGAGTGTGGCTAAGTCCATTCGTTGTGCGCCTTCCCAGCTGAAACTGTGCCTCCCCTTTGACTTCTGACAATCCCCAAGTCTCTCTCAGCCGTGGTGAGTGAATCAACAATGCGTATTCTTTTTGTGTCAAAATCTGCCATTAGTAGAATCCAATGATTGCCATTCTCTACGCACGGGAATAAGAATGGCTGAGCTGCCCCGGCTAGTAGTCGCTTTGCTATCTTTGTCCTCCCCTCTTGATCTCTCAAACAAGCTAGGAGGAGGAGGAGGAGGAGGAGGACAAGAACAAGGACGAGGACAAGGAAGAGAGAAGGGGAAGGAGGAAGAGGAGGAGGAGGAGGAGGAGAAACCTGGAAGTGAGTCGACGATTCTTCGGTGATGAAGGTGCTGGAAGGGCCGGCGGCGGAGGAGGAGGACTTGAGCCTCTCCCTCGCAATCTGATCGCGAACTTCTTCGAGGGCCTCGAGGAAAAATTGCTCGACCTGCAGGCTTGTCAGTCCTTCCTCGCTCCCCTCGCTAATCTCCTCCGCCCTCGTCCTCGCCCTCGCCCTCCTTCCCACCTCTGATCTCTGGCTGATGATATCCTGCGCCAGTCTCTTGATCTTGTTGTGCTCCTTCTCCTTGATCTTAAGGAGCTTCCGCAGCCCCGTGTTTTCCACCTGACGACATCTTCACTCCTCCTCCTCCTCCTCCTCCTCCTCGCTCTTTTCCCCTCACCTCTGTATCCTGCATGTCTTGCTTTGCCTTGCTCACCAGCCGCTCCTTCTCCCTCTCAAAGTCTTTCGCCACTTGCGACAGAGACTTCTCCAGGTTCTTCACCTTACCCTGCAGGGGGAGATGAGGGGTTGGAAAGGGGAGGAAGAGAGTGAGGAGGAGGAGGAGGAGGAGGAGGAGGAGGAGGAGGAGGAGGAGGAGGAGGAGGAGGAGGAAGCGCCAGACCCGCCCAGGAGGATACCGGACCGGTCCTACCTGCAGATCTTTGACCTCCCTTGACAGCCTGTGCCTGTCCTTGGCGTACTCGCCGATCTGCTGCTCATTGAGCTCCAGGTCCCTGCGGAGTTGCTTGGCTTCCTCCTCTAACTTTGACTTCTGTTTCTGCAGCTCCGCCTGCGACAAAGCTACATTATCAGTATACCAACACAGAGAATGCTCAGAAGCCAAGAGACAAGCTACAACGACACAACTAGCACAAGTGCAGGAGTGAAGTACACGAACATCAAGAGGTAGGTCTTTGTGTACATGCGCATCGACGCATCGGCAAAACACACAACAAGATGCACAAGGACGTTGATATCTCTGAGATGTACACATACAAACACAAAAAGAAAGAGCACAAGAAGCTTCTTAGCGCCTCACCGTCTCTTGGACGTGTAGCTTGAGGTCTTCTGCTAATCTTCTGTTCTGCTGCAAAATCCTCTTCGTCGAGACATCCAACCTATTCACAACCTGCAACGAAAGCGTGAGAAACGTTGACTGGTGAGACGAGAGGCAGAAAGCAGAAAAGAAAGGGTGAAGGGTGAAGGGCGAGGGCGAGGGCGAGGGCGAGGACAACGATGAAGAGGAGCAGACTAGGACCAAGATGGAGCAGGAGGAGCAGAAGTGGAGTAGAGGGTAAGGGGGAAAGCACCTCCTCGTCAGTGTTGCGCTTGATCTCCATCAGCTGAGCATGAGCTTCCTTCTGCAATCGACTGCGAGGAGACATGAGGAGAAAGGCTGAGAGACGTGAACAACAATCACTTCTTCTCCTCTATCAGCTTCCTCTCTACACTCAGCATCGCCTGCCTGTGCGCCTCCTGCCATGGTGTTTCAGCAGATAAGTCTGATGTCGCCATGGCAACTCACTTGCTCCTGCGCAAGCTCTTCTCGCAGGCGCGAGATCGTGCTCTCATACTGGTCCCTCTGCTCCTTGAACGACTTGAGCGACGCCAACTCCTCCTGTAGCTTCCGCATCTGTCCTTGACCCTCTCAGGAAACCTCCAGCAAGATGGAGAGGGGCAGACCTCGCTCTCTCTGCCTTCTTCCTTCTGCTTGAATCTTGTCTCCATCTCGGCGATTGCAAAGTCCCGGTCTTCGTTGGCCTTCATAACCTGAAAGAGCAATGTCATTGTTGTGGAGCAACACGACAGACAAACTCACGATCTTCTCTGTCATCTCCTTCGCCTTCTCTGAATCTTGCGCATAGATCCGGAGCTTCTCTTGAAGACCGTCGTTCTCGGACCTGAGGTACTTGATGACGTCCATTGCATCCTGCTCCTTGGATTGGAGCTTGGATAAGAGGTCCCCATTCTCATTGCGAAGTTGATTGATCTTCGACTTGTACTCGTCCAGAGCTCGAATCTTTGCCTCCAGCTCGTTCAATATGAGTTCTTCAGCCATTGTGGACCGTCTGCAACCCTGCTCTCAAACTCCTCTCCCTCTCTCCTGCCCTCGCGCCCTTCCTACAGTCCCACGTTCAAGTTGGAGGTTGAGACTGTCAAGGGCAGCAAACTAACACACTGTACAAGATGGAGGTGATAGGAGAGATGACAAGCTTGTCTTCATCATGCATGAGATCTTCTCTGCCCTTTCGCCATCGCCTTCCCTGCTGCTCTCACCGCCGCGGCATCCTTTCCTTCCACAGCATCGCCGTCCCAGGGCCAGCCGTTAAGAATTTTTAGTTAATGGACAAAGTGCGTCGAGATACGCTCAAATGCGGCCCGGCGGCCGGCCCCCCCGGGGGCAGCGGGTCCGGGGACTCCGGGAGGCACCAGGGCCCCCGCCGAGTCCATGATGGGCCCGGGCTGGATGGTTATCGGACCGACGTACTGGGGCTTGGAATCGCCCCGGTATGAGGCTGGTCCCGGGGAGGCCGCCGGGACCGTCGCACTGTGGCCGGGCAGCGCCCCGGGCCTGGGCCCCCGGTCCGGTGCCGGGGCCGTCAAGCATCCTCCGGTCGCTCCCCCGCTCACTCCCCTCAGTTGTAGGGCCTCTCCCCCGAGTGCTCACGGTGCAGTGCAAGAGTCGTAGCCCCTGGAGTCCTGCCCCACGGTGAATTACACGGTGCTTCACATTTATTTCATCCTATACAGGGCACTTCATAACACAACTGACTCGCATTTTTTGGCCATCGTTCCGAGCTCAAACTTATCTAGCAGGGACAGACATGGTTTGATGACCATTGGATGGTTTTATGAGCATCGATCAAGACATGTTGGCATCCATTTACATCTGAGATGATTCTGTTAGGCCATACACTCAATTGAGATATACACACATGTCTTCGATCGCCTGTTCTCGAAGTTTGTTTGCTTGTGTCACACACTGGAGCTGTCGCTGCAGCCTTTGGACTTGTACACTATCTACACCTGGACAAAACAATTCATCCGACGAAGAAGTCGGAAACATGCTTCTCATCCATCACACCTTCATATTTGAGCCTGCTGATCTCAGATTCCAACTGATCTATCTTCATCTGAGCTTGGTGCAACTCCTCGTACATTTGTTCTCTGTCCTTGCGAGTCCTGACGGTGGAAGTGATCAAGGAAAAGAGACATCATAATGTTAGTACCGTTCAAGCTCGAAGCGCGATTCTTGAACCCTCCCTTCCAAGAAGAGAATCTGTTTGCCCAACTCATTGACGACTTCCTCCCGTGATAGCTTTCGATGCGAAAAGGGATTCCCAGACTGGAACCTCTCTGACAGCTGTACACAAACTGCACATCAAAGCAAGGCTCTTGTTGAGTCAGGTAACCTGTGAGTTTGGAGTCAACATCATGTCAAGGGGTCCTGGTAAGAGTGCCAAGGTCAGACGAGGACCAAGAAGACAAGCATGCAGCGTACGTCTTCCAAAAGAAGGGTGGTATGGAGAGATCATACAACTTCTTGCACGAGCTTGATCTAAACCTAGGACAGTCACGCTTCCATTGGAAACCCATCTCAACCTCAACAACCTGGAGAATCAGACAGATCGAGGGAGCCCCTGCATTCTCTCGCACTCAAGACATCATCTTTGTTAGAGTTGGTTTCACTGGTTGACGCAGTGTAGATCCTGTAATGCCGCTAAGAGCTTACAACTAGGTTGACCGCAACATACCTCGGCGATGAAAACATTTCACTACCGCTCTGCTCGACTGCACGCTTCTCATAGAATGATTCGTAGGGTTCATTGTAGTCGTCGCCAATGTCCACATCAGATTCATGCGATATCGCATCCATTCGCGTTCTGGACCTGGAGCTTCTGCAGAAGTATTCACCAATGTATTTTGCAAATCTGAGCCAACTTGCAAGGTATGAAAATATCATTCGATGAAAAATCGATGATATGGAACTGAACAATCTTGAGGCTTCTTCTTGCTCTTTCTCCAATGAGTTGTAAAAGGACGACATGCCGTGCCCTGGCGTATCGTCACTCGTCACTGGTTCAGAATCATACTGAAAATCGAGTCCTTCATCGTCGAGTTGAAAGTTATCATTCCTGATCTGGTGGGTGTCCCGACCAAGGTGGTCGAATCGAGATGAAGGACTGAACAAGAAAGTCTGAGGGATCAGCCCATGGACCCTCGACTGGGCGATCAAGGCACACAAAATGCCCAGTCCCAACAACAGTCGAAGCTGGAAGTTTTTCCGAGTCGCTGTCAACGGTACCATCGAGGCTAGCAAGAGGAAACTTCCTTAGACGAGAGCTTGTGTAGTATGTTAATCTCCTTCACCAACGAAGGTCTTCCTCCCTCCCCACCCTCTCCCGATCACGGGATGCGACTGGCCATAGAGTAGCGCGCCAGATTTTCAAAAACTTGAAAACCCTGGGCTTCCGAACTTCCCTAGTGATGTGGCCAGTCCCAGGACCGTCGGGCCGCCCGGCCCCCGAGTCGGAGTCCCGCCGGCCGGGCCGGGGCCCGTGCTACCCGTATCCGAGCCACACTGACAGCACAGTCAACAGGCCCTCTTTACTCACCTGACCGTGACTGTCGCACAGCACAGTCAACATCTCCTAGTTTTCATGATTCTAATTGTCATTCAACGGTTCTCGTCTGATTCTGATTGTAATTGATTGGAAATTACCAAGTCATTCATTCTATGCGGGAGTCAGCTACAAATCTCTCTCTCTTAATTTCTTCACTAAGGTGTTCCACTTCAATTGCCCTTTCCGCCTGGATGTTCCTGCGTTTAACCACGCAAAGAATGAATCCTGGTACATCACGAATATCTCCCGACATTCAGTCAAGCGGGTGTCCACAGGTCCTCCTCCTCTTTGCAAGTTTTCCAACCGTCTCTGTACTTCTTCCCGTGTGTCTTGGTCTTGATACGCTAGGATCCTTCTTACATGCTGCTCGAAGCATTTCACGAGGAATTTCACATCTGAAAGACGTTTCCTGCAGTTCTTCGTGTGCAACACTGACGGGTCAACAGAGCGTAACATGGGTATCTTCTTCGTTCCATTTCCACAGAACCACAAGCTCCATGCCTGCATCATGTTCCCAAGTTCATCCGGCAGGTAAACATTGGCGGGAAAAGAACCACTTCTTCCTGTCTCTGACCCTGCTCCATTTATGTCGGAGATGTTTCCGTCGGATGATTGTTGTCCTGGTCGCCGCATGCTCCCAACACGCTCCACTACAGCTTCTGCGTCAACGCCACTCCCATCAAAGTTCGTGACTTGGCTGGTCCTTGTAGGATTGCCTCGAAACTCTGACTCGCGTAGCACCTCTCGAAGGCACTCTTTGATAAACTCCTTGTGCATTGATGTATTCTCGTTGACTACTTGCATGTTATTCTGACCTGCTGCAATCCTGTCTGCATGCTCTCTGAAATGAATCATATCAGCCTGTATTTTAGCCAAAGACGTCAAAACTTTCTCATTGTGAATGTACTGGTGAACATGAGGAGGTATGCCCGTGCCTTGAAGCCTCCCCCTTGCTTCTTGCGGCATACAGCACACCACTTTTGGCTTCAACATGGGCACCATCCCTTCATCTTGAAAAAGTGTTGATTGCCATAACGGGTGACTCGGCTCCAGGTTACGTTTCAGAAAATCCAAATGATATACCACCGATGCCAGCACATACTCTGCGACTCCCTTCATGCATGCTGGCAGAGTGGGAAACAATTGGTCGATTGCCTTTGTCAGATTCTCATCCCTGTCCACAAAGTGCGGAGGCAAAATAGCAAATTCTGCCTGGTCTATCGGTAGACCCGCAACTGTCCGTCCTGTCATACTTCGTGAGCCCATGAAAAGCCTGAAAGACATCTGATGAGCTTACCTACAAAACAATCCCCTGCTGCTTCATATCTCAGATCAGTCTGAAAGATAGGTCCATTGGCCCCTCCTGCTCGCACTGAAAGTGACGCACTTGACGGACAGTGAGTGCTTCCAGAAGCACAAAATGTCGCAGACCCCTTTCGTATCGAGTGAATGCCTATGTCTTGCGGTTGCAGACCTAGGGATAACAAATGGGTCGTCACTGCCCTTTGAACTGTATCCATCTGATCATGAATTTCTGCCTCATCAACATCCACGTCATCGGTTGCCTCGCCTCTGTTGTTGGGCGGCTTCATAATTTGCCCAAGGACTTGCATAAATCGTTTGTATTGTGATCGGCCTGGGAATAACCATTGATCGTCTGGAACATAGCACAAGAAATAGATTCCAAGGGCCAGAATAGGGCAAATCTCCGGGCTGATGGGGTTTGCATATATGTTCCTGGGATCTCGCGGTCTATCTCCACTCTGATCAGTCTTGCTATGTGCAAAATATATTTGAAGATGGTCTTCATTCCAACGCATATGATTGAATTGTATGGATTCTGCACTCCCAGCACGGCACATAAGATTCCAGCAAATGATCAAGAACGTGCGTGCAAAGATGTAAACCCTCTTCTTGCAAAATAACATGTTCTTACTGAACAAGCGATACGTTGACATACTCATAGGCTCTTTCCCATTCGTTATTTTAAGTACTCCAGTCGAATCCGCAAGACTGCAATCCCGCTTCAGTCCAATGTAATATTCCTGTATCTCGTTCTTGAACTGTGATGGGATGTCATGTTGAAAGTCTCTGAATAAGCTGTTCAATGCCGATCGATGGTTGCTGTATGTTGCAAAACCATTGTCGGTAGTGCCTCTAATATGTGTGATCCACAGAAGAAAGTCATCCGCAGTCAAGCGGTCGAAGTGCAGAGGATAAACTCTCTCTGCACTGCCTGTGAAAAACAACAAAGGTCATTCATTACTTGCGAACAGTGAAACCTTCCTAACCTGTCCACTCAACCGAATTTTCCAGAAGGACTTCTCTGATACGTCTTCTGGAAGGCAATGGTGGATCCCCTTCCATTTCAATTTGAATCTTTTCCTTGAATTCATCAGTCAAAACAGCTCGCATGTTTTGGTACAGGAATTGCAAGAAACGAACAATGCTAGATGTATATGCAGATCTTGAATTCTGTGAAACTGTGCTCGCTCGAATCGCTGACATTATTTTGTCGTTCAGCAGCCAGATCAAATGGATGCGCTACACCATCGACAGAGGGCGGTGGCTGTCCTGAGGCGGACTCGGAAAATGGGTAGGATAAGATCCTTCGCTGGTCCTCCGAAACTACTCTGAGCAGTTCTCGATCAATCTATTCATGTCAGGGGTAGGGGTAGAAAATACCACAAAGTAGCCCTTTTCCCATGGGGGTGGGGTGCCAACTTGTGAGGTATTTCCACCCCTTCCTGAAGACCCCACCCCTGTTTCCCAGCCATCCCCAGGTACCCAGATAACCCCTAGGTGCGACCTAAGAGTCTGCGGTAGACTAGGGGGTCGTGCCATGATCCAACCCCTACACCAATAAAAAGGGTTTTATTTTAAAAAGTAAGTTTATTTGTCATCAACAAGGTCATCAAGTGCCTTGGAAACGGGGGTACCCCGGAGTTTTCTGTTTTTTAAAACCTTCCATGTCCCAACACACTTGTTTTTAAATATATTTTAAATCCCAAATATAGAGTGATTTCCGGGATAATCCCCCATATTAAAAAACTTTCTCTAGTGCAAATTTTAGGTTTATAAGTTCTCCTGTACCAACATTTTGGCACAAAAGGGCACATCATAGTTTTTTACAGTAGTTTTAAAAGGATACAATCATTTTTGGGAGTAAAACAGAAGGGATGTGATGGCCGATAAGCGAAACTCCCAGTCGGGATGACATAAAGGAGCGCGGGGCCGGGCATGGTCACGGGGACAGAGGAGACCGAGAGAGCAGAGCAGAGCAGAGACTAGGAGAACAGAGAGGCCCGCATAGCAAGCTCCACAGAAATAAACCGCCAGTGAATGGGGGAAAGAATTTTTGGTGTTGTCGTTTAGACTTGCGAGGGTTAGGTGTGATAAGAACCTGCCCATTACATGCAATCTGGAAAGATGCTGTAGTGTTTGAGGGACTTGGAAGTTGTGAGAGGGATGTGCATCGTGCTTGTGACAATGAGGGTCCTTTCAGCGCTTCTCACACTGAACGTTGCAGGCGCGTTTTGGCAAGAACTCGGTTGATTTCATGGATTCCGTCTATCATCGTACGCACTAACTTAAGCGAGGATGGAACGTCCTTTCGGGCGAAACTTCTCTAGACTTCTCATCTCTGGTCTCTTCTTTCAGCTCTTGTTGTTGGGGGGGGTGCGACATGCACGAGGGCAGCAGTGCAGCAGCAGCCAGTTCGACTGGCCGTCACAACAATGCACCCTCCCCTGTCCCATAACATCTTCTTCCTGCACACAAGCTGCCAACTCAGATGTTGTATCGCTGGCTGGCACTGCCTACTGCTGCCTCTGCGTTATATCGGCGGATGGGCAGTCCCAGTACATGCTCTGCCCTGGGTCGTTGACGAACCCTCCTCAGAGCACTGAAGCGGTAGGGTCGACTGCCGATTGCAATGGAGTTGCTGAGTGAGATCATACAGGGCTCCTCGCTGCTCGCGACCATGATTTTGAAAGACACTGCCGCTACGACGCTGACTGTGCCTGCTTCGACCACGACGTACGTCAAGATATCGCAGTCGGGCTCGATCACCTGGTGGGTTGGAGGTTGGATGCATTCCTTGTCGTTGACTGCCCGTCTTGCAGGTCTGAATTCTCGTACCTTCAAGTCGATGTTGCCGCGAACCCCGTCGTACCGCCGAGCAATGAGACAGCGGCAGCCGGAGGCGCCAATAGCTCTGCTGCGAACTCCAACGTCTCCGCTCGCAGCGACCAGAGCAATGCGAATCTTCCCATGGAGCAGCAAATCAAGGGCTCACACATGATGGGCAATCAGAGAGATTCGATGAAGGTTCAAGTGAGGAGTTCGCAAGGAAGTGTGTCGGGAGGGTTGCAGTACGACGACATTCTGTTCAATCGGAGGAGCAAAGAGCAAGGGCTAGTCGACCAAACAAGGCGCTCCGATGCTTCTTCCACATTGAATTGGTACTTTAGGACATCTTTCCTCCCTGATCTGTCTCACTCCCCTCCAGTCTTCGACTACTCGGTGAGCAATAAGTGCCTTGTGCTTCCTCTTCGCCCATGACACTGGTTGCAGTCAACAGGAAACTCGTCCATCACCTTGAGCTCTCCTGTCAGGACTTCTGTCTACTACATGGCGTTGCAGTCAACGGAAAAGTACGTTGCATCCGTAACAGCGTCTCAGAAGACAGCCGTGATGCTCGCTGAAGGACAGCCGTATCCGTTCTCTGTCAACAAGAACGAGCATACGTTCATGTACTTCTACCCCTCCGACGATGGTCTGGTCCTACTCCAGCCTCGCATCACTCCAGCCTTGTCCAACGTCAATTCGAGGATGTTCGTCCGTCTGGGCGCCCTGGCGACGGAGCGGAGCTGGAGCAAGTGGGTAGGAGGGCATGACTCAGAGATCGATGGGATGGCCGACTACTCGTACACATCCGTTCTGTTCCTCAAGAGCGATGGGGACAGGTACATCTCGTGGACTATCGATCCCGGCATGAAGAGCATCTGGACGATGACGCCGTACCTGGTGGCCCCCACTTCCTTGCAGCTCGACACTCCGATGAACTTTGCGGTAGACAAGACTATTAGGGCTCAGCTTTTCTCGGCGGTCCCGTCAGACACGCAAGGGAACTTCTATTTCCAGCTGATGCCTTCGTCTGCTCCCACTTCCCAGACCTACAGGCAATGGCAGACCTTGCAGGCTGCAACCAGGATATACGCAGCGACCAAGAGGAACGGGAGGATGGCCTACTACCAAGTGAGCGACTGGGGCTACACCTCAGATGGAACGCCCGGCTTGCAAGTCATGATCGACCAATGGGATCAGGGAGCTACTGTGTACTTGCTGCTGTTCATGGAGAATGACGCGCCGAGCAACGAGTTCTCGGTCGTGGCGTTTATGGCCGGCAGCTCGTTTTCCTCCTGGAAGTGGTGGTTCGGAGGAGTCCTGTTTGCCGTCTTTGTGTTCTGTGCGGGGCGCTGCGTGCTCTGCCGAGGCCCGAGGGGAGTGAGCTTGTTTGGGATCCGCTCCAGGAATGTTCGCTCGATGGGAACCAACACCGGCTTGAGGGGTGAAGTGGAGCTCCAACAGGTCGAGGAGGTATGCTCGACTGAACCAGCCCCTGAGGTCATGAAGAAAGTCGCCGACACTCTCTATCGTCGCAACGAGACAGGCAGCACCGATACCAACAGCGTGCATGTGGAGGTTACTGTTGAAGCCAAGGACGACGCCGCTGCGCAGGACAAGGGCAAAGTGAGCGACGGAACGCAGAGCACGGCAGCGGATGCTGGGGCTGAAGCGAGTGGGGCTGTAGCAAGTGAGGCAGGACAAGCCAAGGGTGAGGGAGGCGAAGGTGGGAGGGAGGATGGAGGCGGAGAGGACACGAGCTGTATCGTCTGCCTCGACCGGGACCGGGAGGCGATTCTGCTGGAGTGCGGGCACGGAGGACTGTGCCTGCAGTGTGCCACCTCGTTATGGAACCAGGGCCCAGCAGGGCGGCACTGCCCGATGTGCCGCAAAGTGTTCTCAGGTGTGATGAAGATCGTGGAGGAGCAGGAGGACATGGTTAAGGTGCAGGCGGTACACTACGCGTACAAGCCCCCCGAGAGCAGTTCGGCGCCGAGGATCTCGATCCTGGGCATCCGAGACGTGCTGAGCTCCATCACAGGAAACGTGATGAGCAGAGGGGGAGGGTCGGAGGGGGCGGGAGGAGGCAGCAACTCCTCCGCCATCGTGCTGGGGCTGGTGACTGACAATCGGAGGCGTCCATACCCTGTTCAAGTCAGGAACGAGACGCAAGGCGAGGGCAGGATCACGTCGACTTGATCACTTCGCCTGCTGTTGTTTATTCATCCCTTTGTATAGTGAACAATAATCACCTGTAGATTGAACACGTGCTAGCATGGTGAACATTTGTGAATTCTATTCTAACATGGTATACATGTCTGACTGCTAACATGGTGAACATTTCTCATCACAACACTGTGTCTTCTTCTCTAGTCTGGCATCTTTGTGTCCTTTCCGGTCACCGACTTTGCCATCGGCTCTGATCAACTTGCAGCTGATGTTTCAGTCGTTCCCCTGCGGCTCAAGTCACTGCCATCATCGTGCATCAGGTAGAAGAGGAGGGACGAGGAGGAGGAAGATAGGCGGAAGGGAGAGGCGAGAGAGGAGGGAGGAGATGATGGTGCAGAGGAGGAGGAGGGTGGTGGGAGAGGAGGGTGGGAGAGAGGACGGAGAAGGAGGGAGAAGAGAGGAGGAGGATCACGTTGCATCTGCAGCCTGAGCTGCGCTTCTCTCTGCGAACGGGACTTCCTCTGCTCGAACACGGGAGGGGTCAGTGGCAGCGGGACCACCCTACCCTCTTCACCTCCGTCTCCTCTTGCAGCGCCCGCAACGAGTCCTTGGATCGCGATCAAGGTCAGTCACAGGGCAAGGAGGCAATGGGCATTGCCTTAAGAACCCTCTCCTGCATGAGAGCTTGCTCTATCTTGCGCCTGGCCTGCTCCTGCGGGAGTTGAAGCCATCATGACCCGGAAGATCAGTCGATGCAAGCGGCAACCATGATCTTATCAGCCTCCACTGCCCAACGAACGTCCCTGCCATGTCCGACCGCCGGCTCCTCCCCGGGTGGTTGCTTGATGGTATGAGACGCTACAGTCTCAGGAGATCTCCTGGCGGCAAGGGATGAGAGGACGGTTGTCATGGCTGCTCGATCACACCTCTCATGCTCATCGTCGTTGTAGCTTACATGCTCATGCACTTGTTCCTGGACAGGTTCCTCGACCAGTTCAGTGGCGACGTTGGACGGCGGGCGAGGACGGCCTTGGAAGACCACGTCGAAGAAAGATCCTTCCGCATCCATGAAAACAAATGTTGCTGTCTCCTCCAACACCTCTGTTGGCTCATCAAAACCGGGAGTGACAAAAAGGAGAGGGGAAGAGAGAAGAGGGGAGGGGAGGGGAGGGGAACCGGTAAGCTTGTTCTTGAGAGACTGGAATCCATAAATGCTCTTCTGCGAGTCATCGACGCATATCAGGGTGTCCCCGGGTTGAGGAGCTCTCGACGTGCTGCCGTGAGGGAAGTTGTCGGAGACAGAGATCACCGAGATGCGGTCTTCTGAGATCAGGAAGTTCAATCCCAAGTCGTCACAGCTGACCATGTCCTCTGCTGTGTCCATCCTCCTCCTTGGACTTGAGCTGATCTCCCCAGTTTCCCCTCCTCCTCACGCGTCCATGGACGAGATCACGACGGTCTCTGCCACTGCCCGACTGCTGCACAGAAACAGCTGTCACACTGCCAACCATCACCGGCAAAATTTTGATATGATGGAATCTAGTAAACTCCTGTTTGCATGACGATGTAGACACGAGGACGAACCCTTTCCGTTTCTCCCTCTCCTTCTCTCTCTCCTTCCCCTCTGCTCCCTCCATCCCTCCCTCCCTCTCCACCTTATCTCGCAGTCCTCCCATAGCCCTCAGGGAAAAATTCAATCTCCCAACACCCCTGCTATCTCGTTTCCCCTCTACCTAGTCCTCTTCCTCGGCTCCACCTTCATCGTCCTACTTCTGCTGCTCCTGATTCAAATTTGTTTCAGTGCCTGCTCGTTCTGCTCCTGCCCCTGCCCCTGCCCCTGCCCCTGCCCCTGCTTCTCCTGCTTCTCCTGCTGCTCCTGCCTCTATCTATGCTTCCTGTTCATCGTTACCCACCTCACCACTCCATGATTTCCTTCAAACTCCCAGCGGCAGCAAATAGAATATAGTATTTTCTCTGTATTGAAGTTTTCTGTCTCTCTGCTCAGCTGCCCGGCGGACTCACTAGAATAATTGAGTGATGGTCCCGACCAGTGCGTGAGAATGGAGGCAGGGAGGAGGAGGAGGCAAAGTGGAGCTATGCTGCGAGGAGGAGGAAAGATGGTGGTGGCTGATAGGATCAGGAGTATGAAGAGACTTCTTGTTACTGTATGCGATCACACACAGCTTCAAATCACTTTGTATGCCGACTGACACTAAGAGATAAACCTGAGAGAACGGGAGAGATGTGGACTGAGTAATAGTATAGGAAGGCGGCAAGCCCAATCATGATGAATGGTTGATTGAAGGGATTATGTCATTGTGACTCAAACTTGTTGACTGTTGTACAACTGCTTGCTTAAACAAGCAATCGATGATGTGTTGATTTGTTTGAGTATCTATGACCGTCTTTTTCTATCCCCCCCGCCCCTTCCCTCTCCCCTGTCTCTGCCTGTCTCTGCCTGTCTCTGCCTCCCTCTCATTCTCTCCTGCTGCCCTCTGATGATCTAAGTATTTGTTCACGCCAGGTCATACCGACGAACTGGGATGGTTTTCCACTTCACTTCCAGCCCCTGCGATGCAGGTTTGTCGGGCCATCCTGCATGACCACAGCCTCTCACTCCTCCCCTATGGCAGCGCCAGAGGGCTACCTCTTGTACATGGGGAAGGATAAGTATGAAAATGATGACCTCATCAAGTTTGCCTGGCCGGAGGACGTCTGGTATCACGTCGACAAGGAGTCTTCAGCACACGTCTACATTCGCCTTCCAAGGTTTCCATGTTTTTACCCGCCCTCTCCGGTCGCCTTCCTCACTGTGGGCCCTCAGAGGTAGCCACCTGGCAGGAAAAGAATGGTACAAGAACATCGATCCCAAAGTGAGCCGTCCTGCCCCTCCTCCTTGCTAGCCGTCCTGCCCCTCCTCCTTGCTCCCTTGCTGGTTGCGGTCATGTTCGCGTTGCTCATGATTCTCATGCTCTCATCCTTTCCTGTACCTCCTGCTCCTCCACCATGATTTCCTGCTCTTCCCGCCCATCCCCCCTCCGCACTCTTCTTCTCGCCATTCCAAGGAGCTGACTAATCAATGCAGGTTGTCGAGGAGTGCTGTCAGCTGGTGAAAGCAAACTCAATCAAGGGAAACAAGCTTGACAACGTTTGCTTCCTGCCAACCCCCCCCAGCAAGTCTTTGACAGCAGGCCTTACCAGATCACTGTGGTCTTCACTCCTGCCAGCAACCTGAGGAAGAGTCAGGGGATGGACACAGGACAGGTGGGAAGAGAACGGGGCCTGTGCAGGAGGGATCTGACGAACCGTGCTTGCAGGTTGGCTTTCATGATCAAAACATGGTGTTCAAGGAGAAGGTTCAGACCCGGAAAAATGAGATAGTGAACCGTAAGTTGTGGAGGATTGAAGTGGCAAGCCCTTCCAGGGCCCTCTGAGATGCTCTGCTTTGATGCTTGCTCAATGCGTGCCGTTAACTATGCTTGCTTGTCCTCCTTTCACATCTCCTCGTACTCTTTGACTCCTCCCACGGCAGGGCTAGAGAAAACGAAGAAATGGGTTGAGGTTGACCTCGAGGTCAGCCCTTGTGCTCCATCCTCCTCCTCCTGTTCTGACCTTGTCCTTCCCAGGCTGATCTCATGAAGCGACAGAAGGAGGATAAGGCAGAGGCAGCCCGTATCGCCGAGAAGGCAAGGATTGAACGCGAGGAGCAGGAGAAGAAAGTCTGTCTGCCGTGTCGTCCCGTGCTCGTTCTGACGCTGTGCGTGTAGTGGAAGGAGGAGAAGGAGGCTCGCTCTTACAACAGGTGAGGGGGGCGGGGAGGGGATGAAGAGGAGGCTGTCACTGCCGTAAGTGTGTCGTCTTGACTTCCTGCAGGCTCTACGACGAGTCGAATATGACGAAAGCAGGGGAGCTTGAAGTAGACTCTGATGGAGAAGTTGACTTCATGTGAAGCCGCCGCGCCGCTGTGCGCCGTGATCAATGATATGCGGCGAGGGCCTCGCCGAGTCGGAGGCAAGTTTGGGGCCAGTCACTGAGTGATAAAAAACCGTGAGTCATTGTGACTCGACACTACTGAGGCTGGTCACCCGACCGCCGCCGGCCCACTGAGTCCGGCGAGTCCAACTTTGATAACCGTCTTTGAGTAATCACACAGGCCGCCCGGCTAAGCAGCGGCCCGGCGGGCGTCGCCGACTCCGGCCAGGGTGCCGGGCCCGCACACTGCAATGCTGGGTAGGCAGCTGCAGGCACTCTACCCTCCTATTAGGCGTACAAGGAAAAGGCAGCGACGCGGATGAGGGACCTTGACCTCTTTACAAATAACCGGAACATTCATAGGAGGTCTTAGTTAATTGTAGGACCAGGTTTTCTAGACCTTCTAGGACCCACAAGCACAGGACCCTGCCTGGCACGTATCTAGTACTGCGACCGGTCGTCAAAAGGGCTCTGGTGGAGTTGGAAAGGGTGGGTGGTAGCAGTTGGTAGGGGTGATTGTGCAGATCCGGTGAGTGAGTATTTCCGACTCGAATGAGAGGATGGCTACAAATGTAGGTAGGGGTGGGTTAGGGTGGGGATGGGGTGGGGTCACATGATTTTATTTGGGGGTGGGGGTGCATAATCACGGGATTTTATGATAGTGTGAGGGGTGTGCAAGCGTCCGGAGGTAGGGTGGGTACCATACTGAAGTGGTAGCGGGTGTGTAGTGGGGAAAAGGGTTTGAGAGAGTCGCAAATGGTAGGGGTGGGTAGTACCGTCTTCAGTGAAGACTTGGCGTTTGAGGGGGTGGGTGTGCTGCGTCGAAATGTTCATGGCAGGCGGCGGCTGTTGAGGGCGACGAACCGCATAGAGGACTGAGCGGGGAGAGCACTGCGGCAGCGAAGGCTGATGGCGGGAGGAGAATGGTGGATGAAGGAATGATCCTGATGAGCAGAGAGGGATACTAGCCGGGGGGGCGAGGATATGAAAGCAAACGCGACTTCCCGCAACAGGTGATAAGTTTACCAATGTCTCATTTGAAGGCGACATAGCACTGTGAATCAAAGATAAGTTTCAACTGTTGGTTCCTGCACTAGACAGCGAAGGCTTCATGAGAGAAGAAGGGTTCCCCATTGACAACTGCATGGAGCTACAACTGTTTCGCAGCAAGTGGTCACATTGAATGCTCCGTGCAATAGTTACTGGCATGTCCATCACAGGACACACTGGTGTGATCTGAAATTCGAATAGTAGTGAGAACCTTGTTGGAATCCTACAATCAGCCATGAGCTTTGGCAGAAGACACCTTCGGCAGGTGTCGTTCAAACGAGCCTCGGTGTTTGAAAGCGAAGAAACCGCCGGGGTTTGTCGTATCAAAAATGAAGACTTTCACATGCAGTTGACACAAGAACTACCAGCTAATAGAGATGGGACGGACTGGTCTGTGTATTGCCCGTTTGTTTCTCGTCTCCTCCAGACCTCAGTGCAAGGTTTGAACAGTTTACAGCCAAGGGGTGGAGTGGTGGACTGTGCTGTGCTCTTTGCCGATACATCAGGGTTTACAAGGCTGGCTCAACGTCTAGCTGTGTGAGTCTTTCATAATTGTTTTGGGGTGATGAGTTGCATTGATTGCTTTGTGTTTGTCGCCTTTACAGATTCTCTGACGGCGCGGAAAGGCTTTGCAGTGTTTTGAACTCCTTCTTTGCAACCCTCATTCAGATTGTCACTGATTATGGCGGGGACGTCGTGAAGTTTGCTGGAGATGCTGTCTGTGTAATCTTCCCTATTGATGAGTCGCAGCCTGTGCAGAACTTTGTTGCGAACAGCTTTCAGTTAGCTGTGGCTAGAGCAGTTCAATGTTCGATCGAACTTCACGAGGTATTGATTTGCCTGTTTCTGATCTTGCTGAGAAGTCAGATTTTAGTCAATCTGGTCTCTGACACGTTTCTGTTTCTTACAGAAATTGGACAAGTTTTTGGCTTTTGAGGACGAGGGCGAAGCGATTGAACTGCGGCTGCACATTGGAATAGGGTGTGGGAGGTTGTCAGTGGTTCATATGGGAGGGGTTTTATCGCGTTGGGAGTATGTTGTTTGCGGGCCTCCAATCGATCAAGTCAGCATAGCAGAGCCTGCTGCAGAGAGCAACCAGACGTGTATCTCTCCTTCAGCATGGAATTACGTCAAGGACATTGCGGATGGACATGAAGTTGCAGAAGAAAAGAACGCTCCGGGCTATGTAATTGTTGACAGCATCGAGCGAATACAAAAGCCTGAATATGAGCCGAGGCCAGAGTTGGAGGCGCAGACCGCAAGACTGTTGGAGCACTACATCCCCCCAAACATTGTGCGAAGATTACAAAGTCATCTCAAGACAGACTTTGCCGAACTCCGAAGAATATGCGTGCTCTTTGTGAAGGTGAATAATATTAATATGTTGCCCGATGAAAATGGCGATATGGGAAATGCAGTCAGCATTGGACAGGTAATTGTTTCCCAACATGACTTCGTGAGGTTGTTGATTGTTTTCTTCAGAGAATGATGCTAAGAGTACAAGAGAGCTGCTATCGATGGGAGGGAAGCGTCAACAAGGTGCTCTGTGACGAAAAAGGTCTCGTGATCGTCATCGGCTTTGGTATCCCTCCCATGCCATTGCATTCGGACGATCCTGTTCGTGCAGTCGGTGCCGCACAAGACATCTTTTTCAATATCCAAAATCTGGGCAATGGAATCAGTTGCAATATTGGCGTGACCACCGGGGAGGCTCTATGCTGCGTTGTCGGCTCCCACATACGTAGAGAATATACGGTAATCTGATATGTTATATCGGCGCTATCTCACCTGCTACATGTCAGATCATGGGAAACACCGTCAACATTGCAGCAAGATTGATGTCTAAAGCTGAAAAGTACGGCGGAGAAAGAGGCATCTTGGTATGTCCAGAAACAAAAAGGTGCTGCATGTTAGAAAGGCGGAGATTAAGGGATAATATCAGCGTATTGGAATTTCGGCCGCCCGAGGTTCCTGGCATTGGTGACAACGGTCGTTTGAAGTTGAAGGGTCTCTCGGAACCATATCCAGTCTTCCAGCTGCAAGTCGTGGCCGCAAGAACTTCCTCTATAAATGAAGTAGAAGTAGAAGCCGAGAAGCTGAAGTTAAAGATGAAGGAGTTGTTGCCAGGGCGAGATGTAGAGTTGCACAATCTGAGACAAATGATTGAGAAAATGATGAACGGGAAATCTGAATCGTTTCCTGGCGGCACCATATTAATAACTGGAGGACGAGGGAGCGGCAAAGCTGAAATCGTGGGCAAACTTGAAAGATTGGGACATGATCTATCCTTGAATGTTTTCAGGAATGAGGATTACATCCACGAACTGACGGAACCTAGCAGGGGTGGCCCAGGACAGCAATCACCAAAGATGTGTGCACCTCTCTTGCACAAGTCATCCTTTGTCTTGATGGAATCTCTGTTGATGTGTTACAACAAGCTACAAACCAACGGGCACAAGCACGATTGCGACGAAGAGTTCGAGAAATACCGTCTCTGCTTCGGAGAGTGGAATTCAATCATGAACAAGCTGGCGTCTGCGGCCCGCGAGAAACTTGGAAAGAGGGATTATGTCGAATGGGTTTTGGATTGTTTCAGCGAAGAGCAGGGAGGTTTCTATTTGCCATATGCAGGATATTTGAATTCCATATTCACAATCAATCAGGGACAAGGCAACAGGCTACCAGTGAATGATGATGTTTCTGTCAAGATTTCAAGCGAAGAGAAACGTTTGAGGATCGCTGAGATGATAGTCATTCTCATCCAAAGCTTTGCTAGAGTTCAGCCCATCATGATCATCATTCACTTGCAGACAGGCACAGACTCTCACCGTTCGTTCGGAAAGGAATTTTGGATCATTGCGAGTCAATTGAATCGAAACACCCATAACGTCATCTTCTGCATAGCTTCCCGTCTGTTGCACGAATCTGAGCAATCTCACGTCAAAGATCTTCTGCAGGAGGTCGAGGAGGCTGGCAACTGCTTGAAGCTCGTGCCGTTCACGCATCATCGGAGGATGGAATACGCTTGCAAGGTCTTCAGTGTTGTCACAGGGCACCAGATTGAAGAGCGAGACATCCCGTTCGAGCTCGGCAGGTCCATCTCTCAGAGGGCGGCAGGAAACCCGAAGCACATAAAGGAGCTGATCATGACTCTGCTCAAGAAGGATGCTTTCGTCCAGCCGGGCGTCGGGCCCACAAGCGCTGTCGAGGTCCTCGGAGACCACGAGCTCGTCCTGCATGCCTCGCAGGAGCAGCTGATGCATATCAAGCTCCCTCTCAAGATGTACAGCGCGGTGCTGGCAGAGTTTGAGACCCTCCGTCCCCGCTGCCAGCTGATCATCAAGTACGCAAGCTTCTTCGCCAAGTCTCACAGCATGGTTGGAGCCATCTGCTCGCTCGACCTTCCCTTCCCCACCGTCGTCCTCTCCATCGCCTTCACGAAGCTGCAAAGCGCGCATGCTGCGTTGCATGTAATGGAGGAGCTCAACAACCTGTGCAACCAGGGCATCTTCTACAAGGCCAACCAACGCTCCCGCCGGTGCCTCTTCTACTCGCGCAAGATGGACTACGCTGCCACTGAGTTCCTCGGGTTCGAAAGCGCCCTCCTCCGCGACGAGGCCCATGTGCTGCTGACCAACGAGGAGAAGGAGTGCTTGAAGGCCATCACCCAGTCGCAGCTGAGCAAGGCGGAAGAGCACAGCGCAAGGGAGATCCAGGCTTTCTGGAGGCTCTGCAGGTTCAAGAAGAAACGATGGAGTCGATTGGGAGACTCAGGCAGCCCCGGGCTATCACGTGCCTCACCTGTAAACGCATAACACTATATATGATTCGATGAACTAGTATAACGCGCGGCTCTGTACTCGTGAGGCTCTCTGAAGTTCTCTGGTGCCATGATACTGTAACTGTGACTGATATTACTCAGACGTCAGTACCCTTCCCACCTCCACCACCAGCACAAGCAGCAATCACAATGCTATCAACCTTATTGGTTGTTATTCCAACTGCGCTAAATATCGCAGACAAACCATCACCTCCACCACCTCAGGCTACCATTTCCATCACCACCTCCTGTACCCGGCTGCCCAACCATTGAACTTCGGAACTGACACCGTACTGTATTGCTAATGATCAATCTTACGAACATCTCCATAACCACCTCCACCACCAGCACTCCAAGTTAAGTTTTGGTGCCGCTCACGTGCCCACGGTCCCGGTGACCGGGGTGACCCGGGCCAGGACGGCGCTGCCCGGCCGGACTCCGGGCCCTGACTCTCAGTGAGCGGCGGCCACCGTCCCGGGCCCGGCCCGGCACTGGTCGGCGCCGTGGTTCCCATCCGGTATTATCATTTACTCAAAGTTAAGTGAAATCATAAGTAGCAAGGAGCCGGTCAGGGTACCATGATGTGACTTAGGGGGAATCAAAAAGGTTACAGAGTACCCTGATCATCAGCACCGCCATGGCGGTGAGTTCCTACTTGCGCCCTACTGCCCCTTGACCCCCTTCCTCGTCCTTGTCTGGTTGCTGGTTGCTGGTTGCTGTTGCTGTTGCTGTTGCTGCTCTAGCTCTGGCTCTAGCTCTAGCTCTAGCTCTCGCTCCGGCTCTTGCTCTTGGTCCTCCCCCCCCCTGTTGACGGCATCGTCCTCCCTCAAGTTCGCCATTCGATAGCTCCCTTGCCGCCTCTCCTCGCTCGGCTTCTGAAGCACAGATCCCCTCATGACATACCTTTTGCCACAGACCATCTTCGAGCAAGCAGACGAGCTCTACTCCAAGGGCGAGCTGCAGGCAGCGATCGATCTGCTAGGTGGGCTTCCGTCCCAGTAGCAGGCACGCCAGTGAAGCTTACCTCCTTCAGGTGCGGACGATAGCGCTTCTGCCCTGTATCGGAAGGCAAGATGGAGCTGCGACGTGGCCGACCAGACCAAGGATGCTAAGGAGAAGGAGAGGATCCTACGGTAACCGAACCGCCCACCCCCCCAGCATGCTCCCGTCACCCTCACTGTCCACAGGCTGGCAGAGAAGGACGCGCTGCTGTCTGTGGAAAAGGGCCCAACGATGCACGAGACGTACAGGACGGTGGCGGTTGCCAAGGGAAAGCTGCAGGAGCTGGTGGGTATGACGGAGAAGGTGAAGCTCGCCAAGGAGATCAAGGAGTACGTGGAGAAGGCTCTGGAGATCAAGCCGACGGATGGCGGGAGCTGGCACGTGCTGGGTGAGTCAGGGAGCGATGGGGGAGGGGAAGAGTGGGAGGTGATGCTGTTTGTGCAGGGATGTGGCACGCGGGAGTCACGAAGCTGTGAGTAGAGGAGGAGGAAGCGGAGAGGGAATGGAGAGGTGGAAGGGAAAGGGGAAGGGGAAGGGGAAGGGAAAATGGACTGGAGGGAAGGGAAAGACGGAAAAGAAGAAGGGAACCAGGACAAGGGTCAGGCGGAAGTGGCAGGGAGAGGAGTATGAGCAGTTGAGATGATCTCGATGATAGGGGATGGGTGACTCGGCAAGCTCTCCAAGCACTTTACTTGGGAAACTTTCCCCACGCAAGTAATGAGAAGGTGAGGAGGAGGAGGAGGAGGAGGAGGAGGGGGGGGGGGGGGGGGGGATTTTTACGGTCTTTCAGGCCATCGAATGTCTTCAGAATGCGCAGCAACACTGGCCGAACGCAAGTTCTTGTATGCAGTTAGGGAAGGTGAGCAGAGGAGGGAGGAGGAAAAAGTTGTATGCATGAGTGATTGTTGACAATGTTGCCAGATCTACAAGATGGAAAAGAAGGACGAGGAGGCGAAAGCATGGCTGAGCAAGTCCTTGGAAATGCCTTCGGACCTGCCGATCAGCCGGCTGGCGCAGGAGGAGGCGAGAGAGCTGCTGAGTAAGTGGTGATGGGATGAAAGCGGAGGAGTAAATGCCTCAAGGCAACTGTGGAACTTGATTTGAGGAAGTGTAGAGGAGAAGAAGAGCCGGACGTAGTGGAAGAGGGAAGGGGAAGGGGAAAGGGGAAGGGAGTGGGGACCTATGGAGCGCTTCGAAACATTTTTGGTTTCTTCACTTATCATGTTTAGACTGTATTCAATTTGGTCACGATCCCAACCCGCACACACTGTCGACAAGTTAGTTACGTTTCAACATGTACCTCCTCCCCTCCTCCCCTCCCTGCCTCCCTGCCTCCCTGCCTCCCTCTCCCTCCCTCCCTCCCTCTCCCTGCCTCCCTCTCCCTGCCTCCCTCCCTCCCTCTCCCTCCCTCCCTCCCTTCCTCGACCTGATCGAAGGAGCCGAACACACATAGGCCCTCCTTCTCCGCGTTCCAGTCAAAACTGTTGATGGGCTGACCAGCGACGTCAGACAACAGGAGTAGGAGTAAGAAGAGGGATAGGAGGAGGAGGATGGAGGAGAGGAAACAGGAACGAATTATGAGCAAGATAACACAGACTTGGTGGGGAAGAGAAAGAGATCAAGAGACTGAGAACGATGGAACGAGGGCGGCGAGGAACGGACAGAGAAGGAGGTCGAGAAGCAGGAGCAAAGGAGGAGGAGGAGAGGAGGGGATTCGAGTTGGGGTGTCGTGGTGTGAAGACGTATGGAGGAGGGTCACCTGAGTAGAGAATGTCCGAGAGTTGAGTAGCTCGCATGTGCCCATCACCTGTGGGAGGAGGTGAGGAGAGCGAAGAGGGCAGGACAGAGGCAGGGATGTCGCGAATGTGCCGGTATGGAGGATGATGCAAGCGAGAGAGTGGACTCTGAGGTAGTGAGTAGGAGAAGAGAGAGGTGGAGGGACAGGGCAAGACGAGGGAGAAGGAGAAGAGGAAGGTGGGGATGGGGGACGGGGGGAGAAGGGAAGAGGAGGAGGAAGAGGAGGAAGGGGGGGGTGGGGGGGCACTCACCCCTTTTTCAAGTCCCTCCGAATCCTTGATGACTCGTTGAGCCGGATAAGAATATTTGTAGCTGCGAAAGGATGAGAGAAACAAGCAGAGGATGGAGGAAGAGGGAGGGAAGAGTAGACGTGGAAAGAGGAAGATGGGACCCAAAGTTGAAATGACGGTAGGATAGTGGAAGAGGGATAGGGCTTGGAAGAGGAGCAAGAAAAAGGGACGATGTCACGCACAGATTGATACTTCCGTTGCCTCCTCCGGTCATGAAGATCTGATCATTGATACATCAATCCTTGTCTGCAACCTCTTCTGCCCCCGTCCTCGTCCTCGTCCTCGTCCTCGTCCTCGTCCTCGTCCTCGTCCTCAATCCCCTCTCACCCATCAAAACCTTCCCTGGCCTCCTCTTCCTTCTCCCCCTTAACTCCCCCTCCTCTCTCTCACCTCGCGGTTTTGTGGGAGATGTTTGCAGGTCCAAACCTGCGGCTCATCGTCATACTCATCGCCTGCATCGCTCCCTCAGCGTCACCGTCGACTTGTGGGCCTTCTCTGTCAAGCTCTCGTACCCTTCCTTGGGGTGATACGTCCTTGCGGGAGCTCTTGAGCGACTGGTAGGGGCAGCAGACCATCCACACTTACCTCATGTCAAACAACTTGAACTGAGATTCCAACGTCGCAGCCACCTGCAACAGCAACAGTCACGGCTCGGCAAGGGTGCCAGGAGACTGGTTCCTACCAGTTTGTTCATCTGGATGTCTTTGCGGTCGAAGTCGAGGCAGCAGATACCGTTGCGCACGTTAGTCTCCCACCTGTCAGTTAACACCAAACAATGTCAGAGTGATAAAAGAGGCAATCAAACAAGGCACGACAAGTCACAACAACATCATTCAAGACGAGACGAGACGAGACCACAGCACAGCCGGCACAGAAACCAAATGCTTCCACCTAATCTGGTTCGTTCGAAGGTCATAAAGCTTGACATCCCCGTTATCGTACCCTGCGCAGACGCACCGCTCCTCATCGTTATAGCTGCCAGAAAAGCTTTCAGACGCCTCCGTCCTTTCCTCCTCCTTATATCTCCATGCTCCACCTGTTCCCGAAGCAAACGGTCCAGCAATCCCTCGCAATCTCCTCATTTTTCGGCTCCAAGCTCGCCACTGGGTCGTTCTTCTGCCGAGGGTCCCACACCTTCACTGCCCCGTCCCGCCCTCCCGTTACAATCTCTGGCGCCCCGAAGCCGATACCGAGCCCCCCGCACCCGTCGATGCTGTTGATCATACCGGTGTGCGCCTTCACCGAGAAGACAGGAAGGTCCACGTGCTCAAGGTTCCATAGAGCCATCCTCCCGTCCCAGTCGCCCGTCGCAAAGTGCCTCTCCTCCAGACTCGACGCCCCGAAGGTCCCGCACTTGAAGCCATGCTGCTTCTCTGTATCTACCATGATGTCCAGCTTCCCATGATTGAGGGCATAAACCTGCATCGCTCCTGTCCCCCGAGCATGGCTGCCAAGCAGCACGAACCTAGCGCTGCACGGCACCCACCGCACGTCGTTGCTGTGGACAGAATGTCAGGATAAAACATGTATCGAACAGAAAGATTTCAAACATCCAGCCTCATCTGAGAGATCACAAATATTTTTATCTGCTGATGACATCGACACATTCGCACTCTTACGGAACACTCGTGTTCCCAACGATCTGAACAAAAATATCCTCCAACAAACGCAACATTCAGCAGTGTCGGCACCCATATCTCTTATATGCGAAATCATCAGGATCTTCATCGTCTCATCTTCGCTCCTCTTCATCTCACATCGTGAGCGTCAGGCTCTTGTTGATGTGCTCCATCAGCTGCGGCTTCCCCGTCGCGTCCATGGCGATCTGGATTCTTCCAACGCAAACCTACCCCACCCCCAAGAAATCGCCCCCATCTTACCCCACCCCTCATTTTTATGTACCCTACCCCTGTGTCATCTCCAAATTTCTTTATGAAATGAAACCGCATCACCCCACTATTCTAAAATACACCCTACCCAGTCCAATAGAATTCTACCCTACCCACAAGTTTACCCTGACAACTACCACCGTATTTCTATACTACCCCCCGTATACCGCTTTCGGAAGTGGGTGGGGGTATTGAGATTGCGTCATGGCATCGACGGAGGTAACATGGGGGGAGGCGGCCTGGCTGTCGAGCCTGGCGATGGCGGGAGTGATCGTAGCCGTTGGGATAGCCTTCTTCTCCATCCTTATCCTGGCGAGCATGAGGTGATCCCTCCAAGGATGTGATAGGATGATCAGAGAGCCGCTGACTCATTCTGGGCAGCCTTGCCAAGTTACGAGTAGTACAACGATTCTTCTACAACTTCGGGTGAGTATCTTTCTCTTCTCTGTCTTGCTATGCATGGTACTTTCACTTCCTCTCGCTGTGTTGCAAGTGACTGTATCTTTATTTCTCGTCACCTGCCTTTCATGATTCTTGCCCTCCGATTTCCATCTGTGGTGTCTGTCCATCGTTTCCACAGTTCCACGTTTCTTGTCTCACTCTACCATAACATTTCTTCTCTTTCCTCTCTCCCTGTGTTAAGAGGCATATCGTCACGATGCCTTTCCCATCCATGGCTCACAAGGAGTGAGAACGGAGTGAAGCAAAGGTCAACATAATTTTCGATGAGGGTGATGGTATGGTAGCGGAGTCTGTCTGAAAGCATTGGTTCTCCTTGCCGCATTCCAGTGAGTTGACTCTGTCGGTTTTTTGCAGCTTGAGCTTCCTGTTCTCCTTCCTCAACCTCTTTCTATTATTTGGAGCTGTTTTCGCATTCCCAGCCGTCGTGATCAATTCAGTATTGGTGACTATCATTTATGCCTGGGACGATCGAAAAGACTTCGCCCACTGTATCAGGAATGGGAGCCCCAGGGTTTACTCCAGATTCCTACTTTACTTGTTCGTAGCCGTTCTTTCAACGATCATGGGCGCTTGTATCATCAAGTACACACCGGGCGTTCTACACAAGTCAGTAGTACAACCCATGTTCACGCACCAGCTGACTTTCTCCTCAGATCAGGGGAAGTGCCTCCTCTTGACTGGAACAAGGACTTCCAGACGTGGGAGGGCCTCGGCGGATGGATCACGGTCAATCTCGGCTTCGGTATCTTCTCATTGCTCTTTGGCAGTCTGGCAGAAACTTGGGTGAGAGGATTGTTGTCTTTTGTGAAGTGACTTCGAGTGTGACGAGGACTTTGCAGATGTTTCACAAGGATGTGAAGGAGAGGACGAGTAAAACAAAGAAGGACTAAGGAAAGAGAATAGCTCTAATAAGTCTACAATTTCTTTCCGGGGTATGTGTATGATAGAGGCAGCAGTGTTGAATTGACATAAATGAAACCAATTTGCACTGTTTGATTTCAACCCATTTATTTCCCCTCAACAAATCATTTCCAAACTCCACCATACCTGTGCATGTACAAAGGGCAAACTTTCCGCAATCCATGCAAGCACGCCATTTCTCCATCCTTATAACATCACAAACCAACGAGAAGAAGCAGCGTGACAATGGGCAATCTTTCCCTTCTGACAGCTGCTTGTCTTCCTTACATCATCATAGCAGCATGCAAAATCTGATCCCAATGTCCAATGCCGTATGGAGTATCATAATCGAAGGCGATGTAGCATACTGTACCCAGGTTGTACTTGACATAGAACACGACGCAAGCACCCATGGTGTCGAACATGCACTTGCCATCCATGGGGATCGAGTCGACCTTGACGGAGTAGATGCTTCCGTCCGGCTGCTCTAGGCGAGAGAGGGACCACTGGAAGGGAGTTCCACGGACGTTGCGGTCGTTCCTGTAGTAGGGACCATCCTTGTAGTCGGACATGAGCTGGAAGCCAAAGACGTCGTTCATGACACTCAACCACTCGTAGCTTCCGATGAAGACAACGTTGTTTCCTGCTGAGACATATCCTCTGAGGTCCTTCTTCGCCAGCTCAGAAACTCCAGGAAAGTGAATCAGGGGAGGGAAGACAATGCAGTGAATGTTCTCAGAGAACAGGGCCGCACGAAACTCATTGTCCTTGAATGACTGCAAGTGATGAATCTGGAGCTTGTAGTGGTGTTTTCGTGCAAGCTTCTCGATGAAGCCTTCCTCTTGCCCATCACTACTCCTCCCGGTATAAAACCATGCGTTTCTAATGAACCCTGATACACGAATCAGAAACTATAGATAAAACACATGTATATGCCATGATTCCACCATAATTCAAATTCAGAACGCACATGCACAAGAAAAATACACAAATGCGAAGGAAACTACAATGGAATTCAACCGACGACGTGCAGACAAATTTAAAGCACACCCAAAAATTTGGGATCAATGTGAGAAAAACTGTAGCACCAGAGGCACAAACATGACAGATCACATGAAAATTTCTCTCTGATGTTCATCAACAAGCAAACTTACTGTTGAAGTTGAACGCAGGAGGCTTGGTCACTGCATAATACGCGCCGCTCAATGCCCCTTGGTTGTCAGTGTTGCCACGGTGTTCCATGGCGAGAAGTACTCCGCATGCAACCGCAACGATGGTAGCGGTGATGAACACAGAAACCTTGAGAAGCGTTCTGCGTTTCTGCTTGTCCGCAAGAACCATCGACGCCATCGGCGCAGCGGCACCGTAGCTCTCTGCCATGCCTTCAATCGCGCCCGAAATAGAACTCTGCCCAGCCACTCCCAACTCTTACGGAGAATTCGGGGGTAGTGCTGGGGATTTGGGGGGTAGAGTGGTGAAGGACCACTCCTGGATGTGTACTTTTTTGGGATAATAGGGGGTGGGGTGGAAATCACTGTCTTCTCTGAGGCGGGCGTTTTCCCGATTAAAGAATTGTTTTTTTAATTTTACAGTTCTTTTTGTTTGCACTCTTTATCACTTTTTTTTTGTGTTTGGGCCCGTCGGGATGGCTGCGATAGTCGGGATGGCGGGAGGGGAAAGAGACGACGGAGGAGGAGGAGGAGGAGGAGTCAGCGGAAGGGGAGGGGGAGGAAGGAGAGGATATCCTAGGAGACGGGATGATCACGAGCAAGATGAAAAGTTTAAGAGGATAGAGGCATGGGTAGAAGGCTCGGAAGAGAAGACCCGGCCACAACCTAGCGCGCGCAAGTCCTTCAAGTTCCAGCAGCGATTCGCCCGAGTCGACTGGAGACTGCTGGCTGCTGTTGATCCTGACAGCATCGAGCGCAAGGGAGACGTCCAGGTCCTTCAGTCGGTGATAGAGAACATCACCTTCGCTGACCTCCAGGGCGAGGGAGTTCGTTCCCTTGCCGACGCCAACCTCATCAAGCTCGCGCGCATCTCACAGCTCTGCCTGGAGTACGTGCTGTACAGTCAGGACATCCTCGAAGAGCAGCGAAGCTCGGCGATCGAAGACTCGAAAAGGTTTTGACGCGCTGCGCATTGCATTCCGATGGCCTAGTCACGATGGTCATGCAGGTGGAAGCACGACAGGGACTCAGCCCGTTCGGAGCTCAAGGTGGCGCTGAAGAAGCTCTCTGGTAGCCAGCAATGCAAATGCTGTGAGGCCTGTTGACCCCTCCTGTCCTCCCAGCTCAGAAGAAGAAGCTCAAGTCCTACGAGACTTTGTCGTCTTGGAGGTAAGGCAGTGCTGTGCCTTGAGCCCTGTGACGAGGTTGCAGCAGCTCTGAGAATGCTGTCACACCGAAGGAACTCTTCAAGTGCCACGATGGGAAAGTCTTCATCACCAAGGATTATGCTCTAGCTCACATCAAGAAGAGGTACGCAGAGACCGAGTGGGATTTCTACGAGAACCGGATATATAAGATCCCCTCTCCTCTGAGCAAGGGAAGCGATGCTTGGAGTCAAATGCAAGAGGATTCCACTCCCGAGAGCCTGCAGAGGCAGGTCAACAAGTACAGGAGCATGCTGGAGGGAGTTCAAGCAGACCTCGCCAAGTCACAGGAGCGAACAAACGACATTCAGGTGGAGTTGAACAATGCGCTCAAGGCGAACCTTGAGCTGAAAGAGAAGATTGCCAAGCTGGAAAATGCTGTTGAGTTCGAGAGAGAGAAGCAGGAGAACCTGAAGAGCTTGCAGAGAGCTGAGGTGGAGAAGGTCAAGGAGATCGCGGATGACAGGTGCAGGATGATTCAGCTCGAGCTCGACCGAGAGCGAGCGGAGCATGTGATTGCCATCAGGAACCTGCTGAGCTCCAACCAGGTTGTCACCAACGGCAATTTGACAAGAGCGGGAAGGCTGGAAGACGACGACAGCGAGGAGGAAGGAGGAGGGCAGAAGAGCTTGAGGGGCTCTGCCTCAAACTTCAGTCGCACTTCCCAGAGCACCTTGCGGTCTCATCAGCTGATGGAGAGGCTTCTTGCTATTGTAGACCCGAGCGATCTGGAGGAATTCTTTGACAGGGACGAGAAGAGTCAGGCGACAAAGATGAGTCAGACGTCGCTGTCGATGGGAGGCATGGAGGCCCTGCTGGAGCAGAAGTCAGTCACTGAAGAGCTGGAGGAGAAGCTCAAGGGAAAGATGGAAGAGTATGCCGTGCTTGACCAGCAGTTGCAGACGATGAAGTCGAGGTTGTCAAAGAGCGAGCTGGAAGTGATGGACCTTGAGAACAAGCTGAGAAGAAAGGATGAAGCTGAGAGCAGAGGCACCCAAGACTCCAGTGCCTTGGTGAGCAGCTTGAGGCGAGAGGTTTCTGCCGCAGAGAACGACAAGAAGAGGCTGGAAGAGGAAATTTTTCGATTGAAGCAAGAGGTTGAAGAGTTAAGGTCGAAGCTAGAACAGCATAAGACGCCTGAAATCAAGGAATGTGCCAAGTGCAAGGAGTTTCAACACAAAGTCTCGAAGCTGGAACAAGAGCTGATTGCGATGACTGACAGCAAAGAGTCCTTGAGCAACGAGTTGAAGGGTCTCAGGTCTCAGCTGGTGTCGAAGACCGACGTGGGTGAATGTGCAAAATGCAAAGAGTTGCAAAGAGATGTCTCGAAGCTGCGAGAAGAGATCTCAGCGGTCACCAAGGAGAATGAGACCATGAGCGAGAATTTGAGCGAAGTCAAGTCTCAGCTGGCGTACAAGAAGGAGGTTGAGGAGGAGCTCGTTTCGCGCCTGAACGATGCGATGAAGCAAGTGAGAGATCTCAAGGCAGGGCACGAAAAGTTGAGGGAGGAGAAGGAAGTTTTGATCCCCCGCGAGTCCAAGTTCGTCCAGACGGAGGCTCAATCGATCCGGGAAGAGGAGAAGCCGAGAGTGGAAGAGGAGGACAGGAAGGAGAGAGTTTCTCGGAGGAGGAGGCATCCTGCTATCTCGGATGATGAACATGACAAGGTGCCAGCCATCGCAACAAGACAGTCTCCACCCAAGATGCAAGAGGGTGACAAGGGAAGGAGTCAAGACAAGAGCATCAGCATCTTAGAGGAGTCGGTGGAAACTCTCTCTCTCTCTGCTTCACAGGATCGGGACACCGGCCAAGTGAAGAAGCCGGACAGATCGACAGCAACGTCAGAGGCTGTTGGTGACAAGAAGGCGGTTGGAGGGGGAGGTGCAGTCGGAGGAGAGCTAGCTGCTGCTGGGGCTGGACGGGACGTGGAGCATGAACACTTGAGACCATCCCCGCCTGTCAACAATCGGCATCGTCAAATCTCTTCCTCAGCAGCAGCTACGACGACGCTACCGTCCTCCTCCCCACCCAGAAGCAAGGACGGAGGCAGCGTAGCTGAAGAAGAGGTCGGGAAGGAGGGGAAGGAGGCCGGTGGGATGGAGAGCGACTCGAGAAGACAGTCGCAAGGGGAGGAGGAGGAGAAAATCTCGAGCGAGGGAGATGGCAAGACGACTGGTGAAGTCGACGAGACAGCATCCAAGAGGTTGCAACGCATCGAAGAGCTACGGCAGGTCTCAGGCCTCCGTCGCAACAGGATCCCCCGGGTTGTATCCAAGGCGCAGGAGGAGGAGGAGGAGGATCTGGAGGTGATCGATGCTACCTCTGTGGAGGAGAAGGAGGCGAGGAAGGAGGGGAAGGAGGAGGAGAGGAAGGTGGTAGTGCCAACGGCCCCGTCCATGTCCAGGCCAGCGAGCGCGTCGCAGCTTTTCTCATCCCTCGACGAGCATCTGAAGGAGCAGGAGGCGTCTCAGGGTCACCTGGAGGAAGTGAAGGCCTTCGGGGAGGAGGAGGATGTCTCCGAGGCCCCGTCGCGCAAGGATGGGAGGGCTGGGCAGCAACAGGTGGGCAGGATCTCCACAGACAGCGAGGAAGATGCGGAGAAGGGCTCGAAGAAAGGAGCCGACTCGAGTATTGAGCCTGACGACTCGGATGTCACGGGAGAGAGCGAGAGCGAGATCGAGGAGAGTATCGAGGAGGAGGAGGAGGAGGAGGAGGAGGAAGGGGTTGGCAGGGAGAAGGTGAAAAAGGCAGGGGAGGAAGACTCGGGGAGTGACATGGAGGTTGGAAGTTTGGACCTTACCGGGGCCGTGAAGTCGAAGCAGGCGATCGAAGCAGAGAGGAAGGACGAGGAGGCGACAAAGCGCAGAGACGAGAGACATGGGAAGCATGCTCAAGCAGCTGAGGTCGTGCTGGGCGATTCGAAGAGGGAGCGTACCGGGGGAGGTTCATGCATGACGCGGGGATTGTCAAGCACAAGAGGACGGAGATCCAGCTGAAGCTGAATGACTACTTTGAAAACTCCCTCGGCCGTCAGTTTGCAATGTCTCGACGGCTGGGCAAAGAAATCCTACCGGACGAGGAGCTGAGAAAGCTGCTGGGGCTGGTGAGGGAGGACCTGCTGGGGGCGAAGACGAGCCAGGAGGGGCTGGAGGAGGAGGAGTACAAGAAGCAGACGAAGCTGAGGGAGGAGATCGAAGAGAAGGTGGAACAGCTCCTCCTTGACCTGCAAGAGCAAGGAGGAGGAGCAGGAGGAGGGGGAGGAGCAGGAGGAGCAGGAGCTGCCGCAAAGTCAAGAGAGGAGAGGGAGGTGCCTGCTGCTGGAAGGAGGGAGCATGAGACGTCGCTTGGGAAAGTGGAGCAGGAGGGGAATCAAGTCAAACGTGCTGACGAGGAGAAGCCCGAGGCGACGAGGAAGGAGGAAGAGCTGGTTGCACCCGCTACCCCAAAACCTGTGGAGGAGGAGGAGGAGGGGGAAGGGAAGAAGGAGGGGGAGAAGGAGAAGAAAGCGACTGTCTTCAGGGACTCGCTCCGGCCCAGCCTCAACGTGGAAGACCTGGAAGACGAGGAGAAGGGGAAGGAGGAACGGAGGAAGGAGGCGGAGGATGTGGAGGAAGATGCTAGCGAGCCTCCGTCTCTTCCTACCTCGCTCCTCTCCACGCCAACTTCAACTCGCAACGAGAAGTCGATGGAGCTGTCGGAGATTTCCCACCCCTCGCAGGCGCTGCTGCTCGGAGGTCAGACCGAAGATGAACTGAAGGGCCTGAGTCAGATCCTCGACCGATCGAAGCGGGGGAGAAGGAGAAGGAGAAGGAGAAGGAGAAGGAGAAGGAGAAGGAGAAGGAGAAGGAGAAGGAGAAGGAGAAGGAGAAGGAGAAGGAGAAGGAGAAGGAGAAGACTAAGAAGGAGGCGATGGAGGAGGAGGAGGACAGTCTTGGATCAGATTGGGATTTGTCTTCCAAGGAAGACAAGAAAAGGTAAGAAGTGAAGAGGATGAAGCGGGTGGAGAG